TGCTCAGTACATGTCCGAGGTGGAACAAGTAGTGTCCAATGTCTCCATAGCATTACGGAAAGGCAAAGCCGGTCATAGTAAATCCCATCAAGTTTCCAAGGAGCAGGTCAGCAACGAAGAGTCGTTGAAGAAGCTGCTCGAGTTTGATGATGGGTATAGGTTTTTAAAACCTATTAGAGGTACCCCTGCATTTTGGCAGGCAGCACAGCGGGACCTGTTGGCGTGTGTGCGTCAACTTGGTATCCCAACGTGGTTTTGTTCTTTTTCCTCCGCTGATATGCGTTGGAAAAACCTCTTAAATAGTATTTTGAAACAGGAAGGCAGAACAGAGACTGCCGAAGGTTTAGAATGGGCAGACAGGTGTGAGCTGTTGCGTCGTAATCCTGTCACTGCGGCGCGAATGTTTGATTTTAGGTGGCACTGCTTTTTGAGGGAAGTCCTTATGTCTGCATCACAGCCAATTGGTGAAATTAAGGATTACTTTTACAGGGTGGAATTCCAGCAACGTGGTTCCCCACATGTGCATTGCCTCTTTTGGATTGAGAATGCACCGTTAATTGATAAAAACAGTGATGCAGAGGTTGTAAATTTCATTGACAAATATGTGACGTGTGAATTACCGTCAGCAGATGAGGACCTGTTGGACATTGTAAAATCTGTCCAGCAGCATTCGAAGCGACACTCCAAAAGTTGTAAAAAGAATAAAACAGTGTGTCGTTTCAATTTTCCAAAGCCAGCATCAACAAGGACTTTCATATGTCGTGCTGAAGACTCCAAAAAGCAGTGCAAGTGTCGGGTAGATAACAAAGACAATTTGGCACCTTGTATGTGTCAAATGTCTATAGAGAGAGCAGTAGCTATCCTGAGTGCTGTCAAGAAGGCCCTGTCTGATGAGAACAGGAGCTTTGACAGTTTGGCAAATTTGTTTCGCAGTTTACGCATTAGTCAAAGCACCTTTGAGGAGGCCTATAAACGTTGTGGTGGTACAACACACATCGTATTGAAAAGGGAAATGGATGAGGTTTGGATCAATCCATATAATAAGTTGTTGTTAAAATGTTGGAACGCTAATATGGACATCCAGTATGTTGTAGATGCGTATGCTTGCGTAGTATATATCATCTCTTACATTTCCAAGTCGGAAAGAGAGATGGGGTTATTGTTAGGTAATGCTCAAAGGGAAGCGAGCAAATCTAATAATCAGAGTGCTAAAGAGGCACTGAAAAGTCTAGGCAGCGTGTATTTACACAACCGCGATGTTTGTGCTCAAGAGGCTGTGTATAGGTTGATCAGCAGTATGCATCTGAAGGAATGTTCTCGCAAAGTTGTTTTTGTCCCAATAGGCGAGAATGTTGTTAGAATGAGTTTGCCTTTGTCTGTGTTAAAACAGAAGGCCTCATCAGATGCATTTAGTATTGAGCACATGTGGATGCCTAGCTTAGTGGACCGCTATAAGAATAGGCCAGACAGTGTTGAGTTCAACGACATGTGCCTAGCGGTGTTTGCATCAGGATATCGTATTCTGAGCAAAAATGAGAAATCCCAGAGCAGGGTCGCACTCAAAAAGAAGAGTGGTTTTGTGACAAAGCGAACACGAAGCAAACCAGCGGTTTTGCGTTACGTGCGCTTTTCCAAGACCAACAAGCCAGAAGCTTTTTATCAAAGCATTCTGCAGTTGTTTCTGCCATATCGTGTTGATGCGGATCTCAAACCTTCTAACTGGGCAACTTTTGAACAGTTCTACAAGAAGGGTCGTGTGAGGTTCAGCGACCGATCCACACATTCAGTCAAGTCTGTTGTGGACGATAATAAGAAAGAATTTGAAATTGAAGCAGATACACTAGATAATATCCAGGAAATGGTGGATATTAACGATGTGTATGAAGATGCCTGGTGCCAGTTGTGCCCAGAGCAAGAGGCAGAACGATTAGAGTGCGTAGAACAGCGGAAGCAGAACAAACAAGCAGAGGAAGAGCCTGTGGAAAATATTCCAGATTTGGCAGTGGTCGGCCAAAAGATTTCCCACTTAGAAAAGAGGCAGAGCATCATGTGCCGAAGTGAGGGCCTGGCTTTAATTAGATCTCTGAATGAGATGCAGCTCTCAATTTTTTTGCAGATTCGGCAATGGTGTGTAGATAAGGTAGCAGGGAAAAGGCCAGATCCA